GTTTTCAGGTGAGTGTGACCATAGTTGCTTGACTTAATAACTCCTGCAAAAGTTGAGCTTCCTGTCATTGAGAGCTCTTAAATTGTTGGTCCTGCAGGAGGATAAGCAAGTCCAAACTCTGAACTGCTTAGGGGTGGAAGCAGTGTTTTAACCAGTCCTTTTTTTTGTGTTTTCCCTTCCAAATCCAGTGAAATATCCTCATAATCTTCATAAAACAAAGTTTTTGTGGCTGGCGAAGCAATTAATTTCAAAATGTTCCCGTTCCCTTATGCTTGATGATCACATCTGCTTATTTTTCCCTCTGAAATTCTCAAGCTGTCTCCTACCTGGATAACAACCAACAAGAAGCTCTGCCTTGTAGCTCCTTCCAGAATCCCTCACTCCCCAAATTCTGAAATATTAAAATAATCCCATCTGCTGTTGTTTTTTTTGCATTGTCTGCCACCCTTCCTTCCTGCTGCCTTCCTCCCAGAATCTGCCCCTTCCAGAGGTTTCTTTGGATGATCCAGCAGTGAAAACTCCAATCCTTGAGGCTTTGGCATCTGAACCTCTCTGGTTTGGGGAAGGGAAGGGAGATGAGGCTCACTTGGGGTGTGGGGTGGCTCTTCTGAGCATCTCTGTGCTGCCTTTTCCTCCTCTGCTTTGGGGAAGCTGCATCCTTCCTGTGCTGGAAGGACCCTGCTGCCTAGGGGACAGAAAAACCAAAAAAATAAATTTATTTCTCTCTTGTTTTCCACTTTCTCATAAAAACTTTATAGTCTTTTAGTGCCCCTTCCAGCTAAATGTGGTGCAAGCTGCTGTGTCCTGCAGGAAGGATCAGAAATTTGATTTTCAGTTAGAAAAGCAATGTTAGTAAGTGTTCTCTAGTTGGGATGTTTGATTTCCTGTGATTTTCAGTTACAACATCAATTTTAGGACATGTTCTTTAGTTGGGATATTTGATTTCCTGTGATTTTCATTTAGAACATCAATTTTAGGACATGTTCTCTAGCTGGGATGTTTGATTTGTTGTGATTTTCAGTTAGAAGAGCAATGCTAGGATGTGCTCTTTAGTAGGAGTATTTGTGATTTTCAGTTAGGACAGCAATGTTGTATTCTCTAGTTGGGATATTTGATTTCCTGGGATTTTCAGTTACAACATCAGTTTTAGGATATGTTCTCTGGTTGGGATATTTGATTTCCTGGGATTTTCAGTTACAACATCAGTTTTAGGACATGTTCTCTATTTGGGATGTTTGATTTCCTGTGATTTTCAGTTAGAACAGCAATGCTAGGAGATGCTCTTTAGCTGGGACATTTGGGGACTTGGGACAGGGGACATTTCCACCAGGATGAAAGGAAGACTGGCATTACTGGTGAGGTTTAATAACCTGTTCTTGCATTACCAGTTTGGTAGAAACCATTTCTCAGCCTGGGATGGGACTGTGGGGTTTTATTGGCAAGAGCTTTCCTCTGCTGTGTCTCTTTCTATTTATTTATTTTCTTTAGCTGCAGACCTCCAAGTTAGCTGCTGTTTGAGAGGATTTGTTTCAGTATTGCTTATCTGATGATGATTAAGGAATGCAGTGTTTATAGCATCAGCTCTGACCTCCTTGTCAGCTCAGCTGGGCAGCCAGATAAATGATGCAGGAATTCCTCAGCGAGCTCCCCCCATGTTATTTAAAATTAACTCTTTGAGGAGCTTTTCTAAAGCTGATGCATTCTTTTTAAGAGAAATGGCTTTTGAAGAAATTTTCTCTGCTTTAGCTACATTGAAAGGCTGTTGAGGTTTGGATTTTGGCTTGTTTTTAGCAGCAAATTTGTTTCTATGTCTGGAATTTAGTCCTGTGGCATTTAGCAAATAGATGAGGAGTGAAATGAACGTTGTAAAACAAAACTCAAGTGTGGGAGCTCCCAAGCTTGGGTCTGTAAATGGCAAAGAAGCATAAAAGGGTTTGGGTCCAGCACAGCTTTGATAAAAGTTGGTTTGCTCTGAAATTCATTAATGGTAAAACACTTTAATGAGTTCATGTAATTAGATAATTTTATTTCCTTTTGTTTTGTTCTCTGATAAATCTCAGAGCACAGATGCCTCGGTGCTGCCTGTACAAACAGAAAGCCTAAACCATTGATCTTTTGAATGATTTCCTCTGTGTGCTTTTGCAAACACAAATTATCCTTAAAAAATGAGTATTTCAATCCAAAAGATTTCCACCAGAAGATGCTGTTGTTACACTGGGCTGGGTGACACCACATATCCCTGAGTTATAATTTTATATTGTGGTAATTTTGCTGATCAAACAGCAAAGTTTAAGTCAACTCAGTGTCAGCATGAAAAAAAAAACTCCAAATTAAAAAAAACAACCTTAGTTTTTAACAAGGAGCACTTGGCTGTTGTGTGCAGAACAGAGTCAAAGAGGTTTTTAATGTTCTGTAGCTCAAGGACTTGGCTCCTCTTCAAGCATTCCCAGCTCCACAAGGATGGGTAATTTGGCAAGTGACCGTGCCCCTCCAGGGGCAGAAATGTTGAAATTGGTTCTGCAGGTAAATTCAGACCAGGGCAGGGGGGGTTTAACCACAGTGAGAAGGGATTCCTGCTTTTGGGATGCAGCTCCCTCAGTTTCCCAAGCTCTGCTTTCAGCCTTCTGTGCCTTGAATTCTTACAACAGCACAGAAAATGTGCTGCTGCTTTTCTAGGCTAGAAAATTAAATCCATTTTATAACTCTATTTTATAAAGTTACACTGCGAAAAACTCAGCCTGTATTTGAGACTTCAGCACGTGGTAGAATTCCTGAGCCCCCAGGTTATCCAGATGATCCCAAGGGAGTTTAGGGAAATAAAAACCCCTCCTGACACTCCAGGGTTTGAATGTGGGCTCAGAGGTGCTGTGGAAACCCAAAATCCGTGCTGGGTGCTGTTCCGTGGTGGTGGTGGAGCCGCAGACTTGGGTGGCCACGTTTGTTTGTCCTGGCAGTGCTCACTAAAACACGGGGCCTGCAAGAACCATTCCAGCAGTTTGGGGATGTTTGAGAAGTTACAAAATCCTCCTTTCATGGAGGAAAATGCTCTCCTGCGTTTTCACAGCTCGGGCTGAGCCTGGTGGAATTGCTCCAAGTGGCATTTTTGTGTGCTGAACCTTGGCCATGCTGCTGCTGAAATGAGACACGGGAGCACATCCTCATCCCTGCTGCCTGCTTTGGGACTTCATCCTGGTTTATCTGGGTGTTTGGCTTTTAGGGGTGTGTGCTTTTATCTCAACCCCAAGTTTCAAACAAAGCGGGGCATTGATGATTTTTAAAATGTCTGTATGCAGATGAGGTGGGACATTGATGAATTTTATCTGTATGCAAACAAAGTGGGGCATTGATGATTTTTAAAATGTCTGTATGCAAACAAGGTGGGGCATTGATGATTTTTAAATGTCTTTATGCACACAAGGTGGGACATTGATTTTTATAATGTCTTTATGCAAACAAGGTGGGGCATTGATGATTTTTAAAATGTCTTTATGCACACAAGGTGGGGCATTGATTTTTATAATGTCTTTATGCAAACAAGGTGGGACATTGATGATTTTTAAAACGTGATGATTTTTAAAATGTCTTTATGCAAACAGGGTGGGGCATTGATGATTTTTAAAATGTGATGATTTTTAAAATGTCTTTATGCAGACGAGGTGGGGGCATTGATGATTTTTATCTGTATGCAAACGAGGTGGGACATTGATGATTTTTTAAAGGTCTTTATGCAGATGAGGTGCAACATTCATGATTTTTAAAATGTCTTTATGCAAACAAGGTGGGGCATTAATGATTTTTATCTGTATGCAAACAAAGTGGGGCATTGGTGATTTTTAAAATATCTTTATGCAAACGAGGTGGGACATTGATGATTTTTAAAATGTCTTTATGCACACGAGGTGGGGACATTGATGATTTTTAAAATGTCTTTATGCAGACGAGGTGGGGGCATTGATGAATTTTATCTGTATGCAAACAGAGTGGGGCATTGATGATTTTTGCCCGGTCCTTTAAAGCCTGAATTCCACCCTCACCTCTTGGGCGGTTGCAGAGCAGGGTAGAACTCCCCGGAGCGACCCTGCAGTGTGCAATGCACCAGGAATTCCCGCTCACCTTCCCTTTTCTCTCCTCACATTGATGATTTTTAAAATGTCTTTATGCACACGAGGTGGGGACATTGATGATTTTTAAAATGTCTTTATGCACACGAGGTGGGGACATTGATGATTTTTAAAATGTCTTTGTGCAGACGAGGTGGGACATTGATGATTTTTAAAATATCTTTATGCAAACGAGGTGGGACATTGATGATTTTTAAAATATCTTTATGCAAACGAGGTGGGACATTGATGATTTTTAAAACGTGATGATTTTTAAAATGTCTTTATGCAGACGAGGTGGGGGCATTGATGATTTTTATCTGTATGCAAACAAGGTGGGACATTGATGATTTTTAAATGTCTGTATGCAGATGAGGTGCAACATTCATGATTTTTAAAATGTCTTTATGCAAACAAGGTGGGGCATTAATGATTTTTATCTGTATGCAAACAAAGTGGGGCATTGATGATTTTTAAAATATCTTTATGCAAACGAGGTGGGGCATTGATGATTTTTTAAATGTCTGTATGCAAACGAGGTGGGACATTGATGATTTTTAAAATGTCTTTGTGCAGACGAGGTGGGACATTGATGATTTTTAAAATATCTTTATGCAAACGAGGTGGGACATTGATGATTTTTAAAATGTCTTTATGCACACGAGGTGGGGACATTGATGATTTTTAAAATGTCTTTATGCAGACGAGGTGGGGGCATTGATGAATTTTATCTGTATGCAAACAGAGTGGGGCATTGATGATTTTTGCCCGGTCCTTTAAAGCCTGAATTCCACCCTCACCTCTTGGGCGGTTGCAGAGCAGGGTAGAACTCCCCGGAGCGACCCTGCAGTGTGCAATGCACCAGGAATTCCCGCTCACCTTCCCTTTTCTCTCCTCCAGGTGCTCTTACGGAGTGTTACGATGAACTGGGCAACCGCTACCAGCTCCCCGTCTACTGCCTCGCCCCACCCATCAACATGATCGAGGAGAAGGGTGACCTGGAGACTCTGGACATCCCTGAGCCCCCTCCCAACTCCGGGCACGAGTGCCAGCTCCGCCTGCGCCTGTCCACGGGCAAAGACCTGAAGCTGCTGGTGCGCAGCATGGACACCGTGTACCACATGAAGCGGCGGCTGCACGCCGTGGAGGGAGTGGAGCCGGGCAGCCAGCGCTGGTTCTTCTCTGGGAGACCCCTGGCAGACAAAATGAAACTGGAGGAGTTGAAAATCCCAAAGGACTACGTGGTGCAAGTGATCGTGAGCCAGCCCTTAGCAAATCCCACCCCGGTGGAAAACTGACCGCTGCTCGTTCGTTGGTTCTTCTCTGCCGCGTCTCTCTTGTGGGGTTTGTTTTCACTGCCCTCTCTTCTTTCTGGGGTTGGCCTGCTCGTGGATGGGTTGCAAGAAATGACCAGCAAAAACAAAAAAAAAAATTCCATCTGTGATGGAGATCTGTAAAAATGTAACCTGGCCTCTGGGGTTTGCCTGATCTCGTATTGAACAGCAGGAGCAGCGGGGCAGGGCGAAGGAAGGGAGGGGAAAAGGGGGAGGGAAGAGATTGTTCTTCACTTAATGCAGACTTGTAATGGTCCTGGAACTGTCGGTGGTGTCCTGATCCACGAGGCCGGAGCAACAGAGAGCACTTTTATTTAAAAAACCAACTTCAAACGGAATCAGTGTACCCAGTTCCATAGCAGCAGCACACAGCTCCTGCAGGAAGGAGCCCGGTGCTCACGGGGATCCCTCTGGCTGTGCCCGGGCTCTGAGGAGGCACAGCCAGCCCTGGGCAGTGGAGCTGGGCTGGGCTTTGCTCTCTGGCAGCTCCTGGTGATGCTCAGACCGAGCAGTTGTACATTCCAAGGTGGCAGTGCAGCCCCGTGCCACTGCCTCAGGCAATAACTCAGCCCTGTCTGCTCTGTACTGTAATTTACCTGCTCCAGCACTGACTCAGCCTCAGCTCCTGAGTCTGTGCCTGAATTCCTGTCCCTCAGACCCCAGAGGCCGTGCTGGGGTGAGTGCTGCTCTGTGATCCAGCCCCCAGAGCACCCCTGGGCCAGGTGACTGCTCCTCCTGCCAGGAGTGATGGATTGCAGCTCCCCACGCTTCCCTGCAGGGCTCCCAGCTTGGAGGTGCTCAGGATGCAGCAGCACACAGTTGCCAGCCTTTGGGGTGTCCCTGGGAGCCAGCCTTGGGGCTGGGGTGGCTCTCCAGGACAGCTGGGGTGGCCTCAGCAGCACAGTGTCCCCCAGCCAGTGCTGGCCCTCCAGAATGTACCAGGGGCCCTGCAGCAGGTGACAAATCCTTCTGTGGCCTCAAAGGCCATGCTGGGCTCGGGGGATGCACTTTGTTCCCCCATGGAGCTGCTCTGGGGCTGCTCTGCCCCCCTGCCTTTGCTGGAGATCAAGGCCCTGCTCTTTTAATCATCATTTCTGTTTGCTTGGGGCTTAAGCCATCGTTGAAATCACTTCTTCCAAAGTCAAATGTGCTCTTAATATGGAAATAGCAGATTATTTTTTTTTTCCCCCCTGGTTTCTGTCTTCCCTCTGTGAATTAAGTGAAACTGAGGGATTCCCTTGACAATTTTAAACTTCTGCTCCTTCAGTAATTCCATAGAAATCGAATTTCTGGCACTCAGAAACTCCGAGGGAGTTCTTGCACCAGTCAGGGTGATCAGGGACATCCCAGCAGGTGGAAGCAGAATTTCATTGATGGTTTGGAAACAGAGCCACGTTTTGTTTGCATTTCCCACCCCACCCCACGCCACTAGAGCTTTTTTTGGTCCTCATTTTGTATCAAACCTGGGGGTTTCTGACAGCTCCACTGGCCCCACTTGGTACAGGATGCCTGAAATGCAGTGGCAGGGCTGTAGGAAGGAAAATGAGTTCCTGTTCTCATAATCACCAAAGTGACTTGCTTTGCTTTTCTTTTTTTTCTTCTTTTTTTTTCCCCTTTATTTTTAAAGGTGAAAGTGAGCTGATCAATACTAACCTAGAACAAGTTTTCTATTGTGGAGTTTTTTTAAAGCAAATTTGATTTACTGTACTTGAGGGTTTTTGCAGCCAAATCTTTTGCATTCCAGGGGAGGGGGAAATATTTGCTACATAAACAAGTCAAAAAAATCTCTCTTGGGTTTTCTCTGGGCAAAGGATGGGTTCATGCCAGGAAGACACTACTTGTCCTATAAGGCATAATTTATATGTCTGGATAAATGCTCTTTATGTGTCATTTCCCTGCAGTCCCTCCTGGAAAGGGAGGAAATTCTGATGGATTAAGGAGGAGCAAACCTGGAGCTGTGAACACTAAAACACCACTTTTTTTTTCATTTTATTTTTGTAGGATCATTTATTATTATTTTTTCTATTTTCATTCAGGCAATTTGTCACCAGGTGCTGGTTTTGAGCTGTTGGGGCTGGGATTGCTCCTTCTTTGCCCCCTCTGAGCTGGAAAAGGCTCAGTTTTGTGACACTGTTCCACATGATCATGGTTTCTATGAATTGCTTTCATGGCAGGGAGGAAAGGTGATGCTCTGAAGGCCGTGTTGTGAGTGGGTTCTGAGTAGAACAGAGATTTTGTTCATGAAAATTCTCTTTAACAGCCTCCCCCTCTTTAATCACATATCAAAACCTGAAAGAATTCAATGGTGAAATGCTTTTAGAGGTGACAGTGAAGAGTTTGACCCTCTCTTTATAAAGTGACAGCACTACTGAGCACACACCCTGCAGAAACACAATTTTACAAGATTTCTATTAGGAAAGAACTTTCAATCTCAAAATATCTGTTAAAAATATCAGCAACAAGCTGTAAAGGCACATGGCTGACCACGTATAGAACTGGAAATTGTGACACAACAGAGAACATTTGTGTCTCAAATGATTGAGTTGGTCCTAAAAGTTGGGGTTTGGTGCAGATTCCAGTGCAGGGGAGAAGGCTGGGAGTGTGGGATGAGTTTTGGGGCAGAGGGGGTGTCCCCTTGAGGGAGGGAAATTTATTTGAGTGGATGAAGTGGCACTGATCAGGGGCTGTCCCACGGGTGCTGGTGGCTGCTGGGGAGAGGAGGGAGAACCTCAGGAGAGGATGGAGAACCCCAGGAGAGGAGGGAGAACTCCAGGAGAGGAGGGAGAACCCCAGGAAAGGATGGGTAACCCCAGGAGAGGATGGGTAACCCCAGGAAAGGATGGGTAACCCCAGGAAAGGATGGAGAACCCCAGGAGAGGATGGGTAACCCCAGGAGAGGATGGAGAACTCCAGGAGAGGATGGAGAACCCCAGGAGAGGATGGAGAACCCCAGGAGAGGATGGAGAACCCCAGGAGAGGAGGGAGAAGCCCTGGATCGCAGCAGGAGGGTGCTGGCAGCATGTCCTGACTGGGTTTTGGCCCCTGGGCTGCTGTCCCCACCCTGAGCCCCTGGGGTGTGAATGCTGGAACAGAATTTTAACGCACACGACCCAAGCAAGGAGAAATCAGTTTGGGATTTTTAAATCCGCCCCCCCTCAGCCCTCTGTGCCATTCCTGCTCAGCTCTGGCTGGGAACTGATGCCAGGAGAACCTTTTTTACCCTGTCAGTGACAGCTCTGTTTGACACAGCTCAGATTTTTCTACTCTTTCTTGTCACTTCTGCCCGAGCCAGAAGTAACGACCCGATGAAAGTCACACTCCTGAAGAACTTGAAGGGCAGAGAGGCACAAACACCTGAGCCTGCCAGGGCCAGGGAGCCCCAGAAAAGCCCCAGGTGTGCTGCAGGTCTGTTTGGGGCACTGCAGAAGGATGCTCAGGGTCTTCTTCCCCACCCCAGTGACAGCTGCTCCTTCAGAGCCCCCCAAATGTCCCTCGGTGCATCGCAGTTTTTGGGGTCCTCCACACAAAACACAGCTTGGGATCCATTTGCTGAAAGCCTTTGCTCCTCTGGAGCTGGGGAGTATTTTGGAAAACGAATTGGTGGTGTGTTAAGTTGGGTTTTTAACTGACACCTTAAATTTGGGGTGTAACAACGCCAAAAAACCTCAGCCCAGGAGCAACCAAACCAAGCCCAGCTTTTCTTTGCCTTCCACAGAAAGTTTGGGAAGTAAAGAGAGAATCTTTGGAGCAACTGTGCATAATGTTTGGTGAAGGTCAATGATAACTTGATAAAATATTGCTGTACTGTGATGTGCTTCTGCATATATATCCATTGCTAGTAAATAATGTAAAATCTTTTTTTTCTTTTTGGAAGTATTAAAAATACAAAAATACGCTTTGTTACAATGGTGGGATGCTTTTAGCCATGGAATTCTGGAAGCATTTTTGCTGTGTAGGTGTTGACAAAGTGAATGCTGAACGTTTCTCCATGTCTGTGATGCTTCAGAAATGGAAGGGGCAGCTGCATTTCTGGCTCTGGAGCTCTCTTTTCCAAACTTTTCCATGTTCCTGTACAGACATCCGAGACCCTGCACCTTATGCAGAGAATGTTTACATTAAAAAAAAAAAGGAATTTTTCTTTTTTGGCTTTTTCCCTGTGCTGCTCAGATCCTGTTACTTTGAAATGAAAGTAGTCTCTGTTAGAAAAAGGGGCTTTTTTTTCTTTGGTTGGTTGGTTGTATGGTTTTTTTGCCTTCGCCCTTCCCTGTAATCAAATCCCTCCTGGATTGTGGCTGGAAGCTCTGGGACAGCTTGGACTTCTCTGGAGTGGGATTAGAGGTGCTTGAGAAAGGTGATTTTAAAAAACCCTGCCTTGGCTGTGGGGATGAGCTTTGTCCACGCTGCAGCTTCTTGGCAAACAGCAAACCCTGCTCCAAACCCCTGGATGTGTGGCTGCCTTGCAGATTCCCTGGGATTGGATTTCCCAGCACCCACATTTGTGTTTCCTCCCCAAATGATGAATGTCCTGCTGTTCCCTCTGCAGCCACAAACACTCGTGGTGGTTTGGATGCACAAATCTGCTCCAAGATTTCCCTTCCCAGGCGATGTTTGGGATTGCTGTGGGAGCCTCTCCTCTCCCAAATTCCACCCTCGTGGATCCTCCGTGGGGATGGACTTGGAGCTCTCCTTCCCAAGGGGGACACTTCACTGAGCCTACACCAGGCAGGCAGCTGGAAAAGGAGATATTTTAACCAAAAGGCTCCTTAAAGTGGACTTTGAGACTTTCACCCAACGTGTCTGCTGGATTTTCCGTGGAAAATTTGTCCTGAGCCTCCGAGCAGGGGGTTGGTCCAGGGGAACTCTGGATTTGTACATTTTCCACATGAAGACCACTCAGCCAGAGCCACGGGGCAAAGAAACAGCTTCACATCCTGACTCCTGCCTTAAAACCTCTCCTTCATCTTGAGCTCCAGAAAATCCTGCACCTGCTCACTCCCAGATCCCTTTTTTTTTTCCCGTCGGGAAATCGGAATCCGCTCCAAAGGCTGGAGACAATTCAAGGCAGTGGAAAACAAAAGAAATTGGAGCTGGTGGCTTTATTAAAACAACAAACTGGTCTTGGCTTC